TACAACTTACATCAAAAGATGAGTATATTTTAATGATGTCTTTCAATGTAGCACTGCACTAATACTTTCAACAAGTTTATACACGCCAAATCCTCCTAAATGGTTTGAGAAAAAGACTGCTTGCTTACCCAAAAAAAAACCCCAAATAAAATATTTTCAACATTAGATAGCATTTTGGACATGTCATTATAACATATATACAAATACACTGCTAACACTTTCCAAAAACTTGATTTCTATGCTTTAAAAGACGGCCAATAAGAAGTACAAAAGTTCTTGCGAAAAATGCGCTTTCAAGCCTTTAAACTTACGGACACGATGGTCATGTTACAGCTATGTCGAAGACAGTCGTAAAGGGTCAGATTGTTCGACGTTCAATAAGTCTGGCGTATTAGATATTTTATTAATTGTTTTCAGAAGCGCACCAAATTGTTATTGGATTTATGCCGACCCTTCTGTAGGATCGTCTTCTTCAAAGCCTAAAATGGGCGAAATGAAATGCAATCTACCCGGCCACACGACTTTTCAATAAAGAAGAAAACTTAATCGTAAAGTGATCGTTGGGCAAGGCGCAAACGAAAGGAGGCGATCGCTCAGATTCTAGGACCCTGTACGATGTCCCCTTTCATTTTCTTCCTAAAAACGATTTCCAGCTTAAGCTCCGGAAATCTGTTGCCGAGCCTTGCTCTTCTTTGCATAGTAACTTCATCTATCTTTCTGCTAGTTCAATGCTTTTATTTTAATTAATATAACTGTGCTTATATTGCCTTACTGTTCACTGGTCGACAAGTTCAACACCACAGTTCATCAAGTGTCATCTAATATTGCATGTGCTAGATTTTCAAATGGGTTTCAGAAGTATATGAATGCTTTGCAACAGACGGTATGTTTGAAAGTATGCATAATAAATCTGGTAACATTTTCCGCGCTGAAGCTCTCCTTTCTGCTGCGATATCTGGTCAGAATAATTTCACAAAGCTCAGGGGAGTCCAGCACACACCAGGGGTGGAATGTATCAATCTCCCTATCGGAGATCGGGTGCGCTTTTTCAATAGAAAATGAGCT